TTTTTTTTATTGCTTAAGCTGGTTAATTTTTAATTATTATATTTTCCACATACTTTACACATCAGAAACAAATATTATTGTTCAAGCCTGCCTGCTTACCATGTACATAATAATTTAAAGTTACTTTGCTTAATATAATAAGGGATTTCCACTATTTTGGAAAGAAATAATTTATAAAGAAAAAGTGGATTCGTTGACGACGTAAACGTACTTATGATGCAGCAGTAGTACCCGAAACGAAAAGTGATAGACTTATCATGATTAAAATCTCCTAAACAGTCAAGAAAAAATCTTAATGCATAATTCTCTAAATAGTCAAACAAATCAAAAATATTAAACTCATAAAAAATACTTGATTTGATTATAGTGATGGATTCGTATGTGCAGATTGACTGGTTCTGAAGTTATCAAAGTGAAATATCTCGCATATAGTGTTTCTCGTGAATTTATAGCCCGAATCAGAGCACAAGTTTACGGGTTAATTTTTAAATGATTTAAAAGTAGTTACGAATATTTATTTCATAAAGAGCAGGAGCAACTTAGGGCCTGTTTTGGCCCTGAGAATTTATGAAAAATCGAAACAGCTCAATTTTGGTTGAAAATGCAGTATTTATAACTTGGAGCCTTGGTGACCGTGTATCTATTGAACATGACGTAATTTTCTCTCTAGTCAATGCATTATGACGTCATAAAATGCGTTATTTTCCCCATATTCTGTAAATTCCCTTCAAAATGGCCAAAAGTTGAGGTATTTTTTCAATATTTCATATAGAACAGAACCTCTGATCCAAAATATGCAATTACGTAATGAAAGGTCTGTTTCTGAAGATCATAAAACATGTTTTAATTTTTGGATCGTGGGCTGTACTCATATTTTATTTCTTTGCTGAAGGTAGTCAAATACGCATGTTTTCTGCAAAATTCAAGAACATTGCATATTCCCAAAGCCTGTTTTCCAATACCTAGATTCTCAAAAAGAAATTTTGTTATAGGAAATGAAAGCACTAAGTCTCTTCTTTATTTTGACATATGAAATGAGACAGAAGGTGATAGTCAATTAATTGATATAAGGACAGGGCCATTTTATGCATAAAGTGAACCTAGCTCTTTGGTTTCCTAAGCCAATGCGCCGAGTAAATCTATTTCTAGTATCAGGTACTTTCATTTAAATCTGGTAGTTTCTTGTTTGTTTGTTTTTGAACATCCCTATCGAGAATGTTTTACTCATATGGAGACGCCACCACTTGGCGGTGGAGAGTTGCAAATTTTTTGCCTATTCTCGGCACCTAGGGCCATTGAGCAGTGAAGGATCTTTTTCCTGCCAGCACCTACTGGGACATGGAACCTCGGTTTATACGGTCTCGTTCGAAGGACCGGTCTTTAGTCCCACAATGGGATTTGAACCCACGACGTAAGGAAAACTCCTTACTCCGCGACTCTAGAGCAGACGCTCTAACCACTGTACCACGCGGGCGACTAAACCTGATAGTAGGCGAAATACCGGGAAAGGCCCCGCTATACCTCTTTAATATCTGTTATACATGTATTTTTTCCAAAAATACAAACACTTAACATACAATGTGCTGTTTAACAATGCATCAAAACATTTGGACAATTTAGGAAAAACAAAACAATATCATTACAACTATGCATATTTCATATTTATAACTCGAAGCTTTATGATATAGTAGAAAATGTGATTTTGATAACTAGTGCATTTTCCTCCGAAAAACTCCGTAACGTTGACGTTTGCGTATTTAATCTACGATTTGTATTGTTTAATGGACTTATGAGCTTGAATAGTTTTCGTTATCTCCATTTATTTCATCTATATTCAGCAAAGTCCCAGGAGACGTGTAAAGGATAGAGAATGTCTCTGTCCTTATTCCTGCATTTGATAAAATTCAGCATTAATAATGAAACTCATTAAAACGTATATGTACACATCAACATTTAGATATTGTTTTTATATATTTGGACAAACATTTTTTAAATGAAGAATTGGAATTATACTTATTTCAATGTTTTGAAATTTTGGCCTTTAAGCACTCTTTCATAGGAAATACATGTACATGAATGTTCAGATTAAAGTTTCAACATTATACATACAATACCTTCTACTTCTTCTGAGGACATTTCATCTTTTGTCTGCAAAATGCAGCACTGATTCCATGACTGTCATTATATTTACACTGTTCAAGCATTAAACTTTTACAGGCGAGAATACAATACATGTATGGTGCAGTGTATTATCAAATCTGTCAAGTATCAGTGGAGGTAAAAGATAGCAAATGTTTTTACCAAACCCCTTTGGAAAAACAACCATTGTGTTATTTTGTTGAAAAATACCGTCTTTGTTCGTCCTTGAATTCAAAATTGAAATGAAATTTCTCTTTAAGTTCGTTATAAAAAAATTCAGTGAAATTTGCGCGTCCTGTCATTACAAAACTAACAGCTATCTGAAGTCTTTGATTATTTATAGCAACTAGATGAAATCCCGCGCAAGCGCGGGGAATTGAATTTATAACACTACCGACAGAAAAACGCCATTAATATATTTTGTAGTTTCTACTCACAGCTACGAAAGCCTATTAAGATCATTCTATGGAGAAAAAAAATTAAAAGGCTCAATAACGCCTTTTGGAAAGGCGTTATTTCGCCTTTTAAATTTTTTTTCTCCATAGATTGATCCTAATAGGCTTTCGTAGAAAATTACCTTCTTCATTAATTTTCCGTTTTATGTTAGCAAATTTCTTACGAAGTACGAATTGTACTCCGGTTTCGTTGCCACTATGCTCTCCGTTAGGAATAAACAAATTTTACCAATAAATTTATTAGGAGAACCTATAATAGTCTTTCGATATATAATTATATTCACAACTTATAGTGTTATCAATGATTTACCATTATTTCAATGACCATGCACACAAAAGCCTTTTTTAATGTTCATTCAGCTATAATCGCATCGGGCTCGATGCTATATGATGTTCTAGAAGTTTCTGTCAATATTAAATTCGGTGAATGACAAAAATAATTTGCATCTTTCCCTTTTTAATCGGTTATCACAACTTATTTCATTTATGTGATTTAAATCAAGTTTTGATTAAATAATTCAGTGATGACGTTTAATGAAATAAATAAATAATTGCTTGTTGTCAGTTTCATTAAAAATTGCCAGTAACTTAGATTCGCCAACCGGAACCCCCACCGTACTCACGTTTTTGCTATTTCATGGCTGTTTATAGGAAATGAAAGTAGACTTTTTAATTTAATGTACGATACTTATTATGCGAGTGAAATTTGAATATATTTTACGGACTTCATCTTGTATCTAGTGTATTCACAAAGGAGTAAGTAAAAACTCTGGTGCACCCGTTTCGGAGTTTATTTGCAAAATTTATTAATTTATAAGTATAGATATGACAAAAAAATAAATGAAAGTGTTTGGTGTATTTTCTCTAAAAAATGTTTTTATGGTGTTTAGAAAATAAATGAAAGTCGAAGAGAAGAGTTGTCAATCTTTATTTTGAACAAAATCGAAAAAAATATGTTTGTTTACGTTATCAACAGGTGTTTTCTACTTTCCATATAATTATATATCACTTGACCTTTTAGCGAGATCTCGTTAGTAGGTCAACATGGCTGTCGAATAGCAGAAAATTCAAAACAAATAAGTTTATAGGTCTGTAGAGACGATTATAAAAGGTTAAGAGGTGGATAAAATATACAGGTTTGTAAAAGAATATCTCTAGAATTAGGGAATAAATGGTAGCGGATTTAACCATGCTAGATAGTGGAGATATACACATGTATATCCTCAATCAAGCGCAGAAAATCTTGCGCCTTAAATTGCACTATATTTGCATTACGGGATCTGTATCGTTATGGTCAAAGACTAAAATATAAACCATAACGCTACAGTTATGCAGCTAATACTGGACTTTGACAAAAACTTTGACAAAATTGCTATTTTTGTTTGAAAACTCATCCAAAGCTTTCGGATATTACTAACAAGAGGCCCAGGGGACATATCGCTCACCTGAGCACTTTGACTAGGAAATAGCAGAAATCAGTTCAGTCTTGAAAAGTTTAAATATAAAAGTGGTTGGGGGATACGATTTGAACTTTCTTGAATCTACTCTGCCTAAGGATGCCTTTGAATTGATATGACACAAAATGGCTGTTGCTGATTGTTCCTATGTATTCTTGTGTAAAACTTTGATCTCTCATTGTTGCCCCATCCTTCTCCCAGGGGTCATGATTTGAGCAAGCTTGAATCTACTATACTTTAGGATGCTTGCATATAAATATCACCGATCATGGCTTTGCTGTTTTTGAGAAGAAGATTTTTGAAGATCTTTCCTATGTTTTCCTATGTAAAACATTGATCACCCATTGCCGCCCTACCCTACCCCAGCGGGTCACGATTTGAACAAACTTGAATCTACACTACCTATATATAAATATATAAATATGACCAATCATGGCTTTGCTGTTCTGAAGAAATGGGTTTTTTTTTGTTTTTGTTTTTTTTTTTTTTTAAATATTCTTAATATGTATTCCTGTGTAAAACTTTGATCGCCTATTGTGACCCCATCCTATCCCCAGGGCTTATGAATTGAACAAACTTGAATCTATACTACCTCACATTGATTCTATATGAGTTTCATATTTTCAAGCACAGTGGTTCTTGAGGATAAGATTTTTAAATGATGCCATTAATTTTTCACGAATTCAAAATTATCTCCTCTTGAAAGAAGGCATGGCCCTTCATTTGAACAAACTTGAATCCCCGGTACCCAAGAATGCTTTGTGGCAAGTCTGATTGAAATTGGCCCAGTGGTTCTTGAGAAGATCAAAATGTGAAAAGTTTTCAACGCCAACAACGACGACGACAAAAACGACAGAAAACGGACAAATTTTGATCAAAAGAGCTCATTTGAGCCTTCGGCTCAGATAAGCTAATAATTTACAAAAAAAAATGTTTGTTTTTTTAACAGGGTATGGTGTCTATGAGAATAGAACAGGGTATGGTGTCTATGAGAATAGCAGAGACTTTTGATTTGGCTGTTGATTTTTATATTTTTGAATAACTGAAAATCCTTAATTTTTCTTTTATATTTTTTTTTTCATATTTAAATTACCTTCCCTTTTTAGTTAAAAATAAGAATTTGTTACTCTAAATGGAAATATTTTGATTAATTATGAAAAGTAGATGGTTGAGCTGTATTTTAATGAGAAATAAACATAACTCTGATTTCTTTGTTTATTTTCTTTTTATTTCAGTTCAATATTGTCTATTTTTAGAGGAAACTTTAGCCAAATCATGCCGAAAACAGTGTTTCTGTTGTCATGGAAACCAAAATTAATATATTTTATTTGTGGAAGAAACTAAGCATACTATATCAACACACGAAGTTTAAAAAAAAATCTTAAACAACTCGTGTGCCTCACCCTGCCTGATTCTTGCGATGAATAGTATCTAAAACTTCATAATTTATCTACTAAGAACACGTTTTATGCAAAAACAGAATTATACGCTGATTTCTGCAATAGATATGAGCTCTGTCTACGGATATTTGGGACAAAACTCATATTTATTAAACTCAAACATACATTCTGCTTGATATCAAAGGGTCAAGAGAATTTTAAAAAGCACCTTATACTCTATACTTGACCGACCTTTAGGCAATACCCAGGACCCAGGGTTATTAATTCTACAAACTTGTTGTCCGGACGATTTCCAAATATGGAAGTCAAGAACGATAACTGATAGTTGCTTTAAATATACTTCATGTATTTTCTGCCCAACAAGAAAACAACATTTTCACAAACTCAACCACAGACTTTATTGGAACAAAAAGAAAATATGTGCCTTTTTTCCTCTCAAAAAGATTTTTGCGTTAAAAAATCTTCAGAAGTAAAATAAAAAAGTTTTGAAGAATAAGGTATTCCACATATGTTTATCGTGAACAAACTTGATATATAACGTTTAGAATGAAAAAAAAAAATACATTAATTTATGTATGAAACGAAATGCGCTCGTTTGAGAAAGAATAGATCACGACGTCAAAATACATGTAATACAATTACTTGTTCCAAAAAAATGCTTTATGTTGTGAAATATATAATTCTTGCCTAGCCGATATCGTGAAGTTTTCATGCGTTTAATGCGTATAGATTTACTGCACGAAAGTATTCACAGTAAAGCCTAGTATTGAACATAAGGGCCAGTAACATACTTTGCTTGATTTTTACGTCATCACTACACACACAAAAACACACACACACACCCTCACACACACATATATATATAAGGAATGGAAAAGGGAACCAACGTCAGTCCAAATTTACACGGGGTCGATCTCAAAAAATACTAAACGCAAAAATGTTTGCGTTTAAACGCAATAATATTGCAATTAAACGCAATACTTTTGCGATTCAATGCAACAATTTTTGCGTTTAAACGTAATAATCTTTATGTTTAACGACAATCATTTGTATCCAACCTGGCAAAATACGATGGACCCACGCAAACTGATATCTTTTATTTTTTCTGTTTTTTACCTTTTAAGAAATTGTGTGTTGTCTAGCTTTATAGAATCATATTCCTCCAAGCAAACGCTCTCTGAAAGGAAATATTACTGATTTTAATTTATAGAGAAGAGAAAAAATTTGGGTTGTATAATCAAAGACAACCTAAGAACGAGACACGTCCTAAACCTATTAGAACGCTATATTCTTAATAAAGATTTGGTCAGTTGCCTACAATCACAAATCATTTTTCTGCTTTGAAGTAATTTCTGCAAACAATTGGAATGAATCTTCTAAATTAAACGACAAAAGAAGAAAAAATGGTTTTAAAAAAAACTGCCCTCCACGTTGCACTCACGAAATTTAACCCATGTGAATAGGGGTTCAGGAAAGGACTGATGAAATGTTGGAATTACGTACAACATGATAAAGTATTTGGAATAAAATGTATATTCATAACCTTTCCTTTTGGTTGCACACAGTAAACACAAGAACATAGGTGATGGAATCATAAGAAATCAAAATCAAAAGAAGAGAGATTGATCGATGTGTACTAACAAATTGACAACATTTTATCATTACCACTGAAACGTTCTTAAATGAATTTAATTAGTTGTGATACGTAAGCAATTGATCAAAGGCTTCATTCAGAGTGTTGGGTTCTAATACGTTTAAGACATTCTGGTTGTTAAGATGCCATTGTTTAACTACAATTTTCAAAAACTGGAAAAATTTGAAAGAAGACACAGAACCAAACGGTTTTTCTTTGAAGTGCCGGGTTCTTATAAGCTTTGGCTTATTAAGGTCTGATTTTGAAATTCCAGTATCATTATGTTTAAACGCAAAACGGATCCTTAAAAGGAAGGATTATTCAGTTTAAACGTAAAGGTTATTGTGTTTAAATGCAAAAATTATTGCGTTTAAACGCAAAAATTAATGAGTTTAAACGCAAAAATAATATTGCGTTTAAAGGCAAAACGTATTGGATTTAATCACAAATTTATAACGTTTAAACGCAAAAGTTTGCTTTTAATCGCTATTCTGTGACTGAACGTAAAATGTTTTACATTTAATTAAACGCAATATACATTGCGATTAAACGCAATCTTTTGCATTTAAACGCAGCATAAAATATTTCTTTCTCTGAACTGGCCTTAACGGGCTTCCGTAGCAAGGAGAGGTGGCTCGAGTAATTTTTTCAAAGCAAAAAATACATTTTATCATATAACAGAATTTTATTCACAGATATATTTGATAGATCATTAATACATTTTTTTAAAATTGTTTTTAATGCCATCCTTTGGTTATTATTGAGAAAAGGTACTGAATTAATTTTGTTTCATAATATGTGTTACATTTTGAATGTAAATTTTGACAAACACAAGGAAGAGATTCAGACAAATGTTTTCATCATTCTGATGCATGTATCCATTAGATTCATTTTGTACAATTACCAACTAAAATATTAAACTGTAGCGGAAAACTCGAAACTTTAATGAAAAATAGCGAAACTTCTAAATTGTGTCATTTTTGTTACGTTGAATTCTGCAACGTCAAAGCTCACTTAACGCATAATCAAAATGATTTCTGCCTATTTCAACTGAAGGAGAAAGTCTTGATTTTTTTTTATAAAGGTGTCACACATTTTTACTAAGACATTTCTCATCTTAGGTTTTAAGTTTCTTTCGAAAGCATTCAGTGTCTGGGGTTTAGGGTTTTAGACCCTGTTCTTAGGAATCTTCAAAGAAAAAAGCACAGAGAATGAGATCTACTGAATGCAGGAGTCAAGCCCTTTCCTCAGGGTGTTGCATTTATGAGAATTTGTAAGTTGATTACTTCATTTATTCATATTTCAGAGTTCAATGTACTCTGTAAATGCTGATATTGCCAGCATTAATTTCTTAAGACATCTTCCTGACATTTCTTTTAGAAGTTTGCTAAACTTTAAAGAGCCTCCAGATCACTCATAAAATCTGTTGTTAATTCCTTTTTCTATTTTTTTTTCCGGGGGGGGGGGGGTGTTATCATTTCATTTATCGCATGTTGCAAGTCTCTGTTCTTTAACCTTGTTAATAGCCTTCTGACTAGCATTCAAGAGAGCTCCCATTCTTTTGGAATATTTTCCTTGCGATTTATATTTAAAAAAAAAAAAAAACAAACAACTTTACTTTTCGGCAAAATGTTTTTAAGTTTTGTCCATTTCCAAAAATATTCATATTATGACATTGGCGTTGATGTCACAGTTAAACATTCAAATACCAAGATTTCTTTGACTTTTTAACATGGAATAAAAGTGCAGGATTCGATGTATAAAATGAAACATGGTTTGTATTATAAATATGATAGGTAAGAAAAACATTTAGTTTTAAAAATGTAACATATATTATAAAACACCCTACCATGTTTTCATGTACAGGGTTTGCATGCTTGATATACTTCTATGCATTTCGTGTGCCGTGAGAGGCGGATCAAGTATTTCTTTCACATTGAAAAATGTACATGTATTTTATTATTCAACAGAATGCTATTCACAGATTTTAAAAATATTTTTAATACCAATGTGTCACCTTTGTTTAATGCCTTTATTTATTAAATGTATTTATTATTTTACAGAGTAAGTATTGAATGAATTCCATGGGAACCAATTGCGCCCCCTTATTAGCAGACCTTTCTTTGTATTCATATGAAGCAGAATTTATTCAAAAACTTCTACATGAGAAGAAGAAAACACTTGCTGTGGCTTTCAATTCGACATTTCGATATATCGACGACATATTATCAATTAACAATGGTTACTTTCATTCATATGTCGACTCGATATATCCCAGTGAGCTTGAAATAAAAGATACCACAGAGTCTGACACATCTGTTTCATATTTAGATATTTTACTAGAAAAAGACGTTAATCGTAACCTAAAAACAAAGCTTTATGATAAACGTGATGACTTCAACTTTTCAACCGTCAACTTCCCTTACTTATGTAGCAGTATACCCTTATCACCTGCATATGCGGTTTATGTCTCTCTATTGATTCGATAAGCAAGAGCATTCTCTACGAATGAACAATTTCTAAAACGAGGCAAGCTATTGGCAAACAAGTTGATGAAACAAGGATATCAACAGTCTCGTTTGAAATAATCTTTTCGCAAGTTTTGCGGTCGATACAATGACCTTGTCAACACATACAACCTATCATTGAGTCAAATGCTGACTGACGTTTTTCATACTAATTGTTAGGTCATTGTTTATGCACTGAACTGCCTACGGATTTCTCCTTTATTACATGTACCCGATCATGACAAGGAGCACACGGTGGGCGTGACCGTTCGACAGGGGATGCTCACTCCTCCATGTGTTATTACCCGATCATAACAAGGAGCACACGGTGGGCGTGACCGGTCGACAGGGGATGCTCACTCCTCCATGTGTTATTACCCGATCATGACAAGGAGCACACGGCGGGTGTGACTGGTCTGCAGGGGATGCTCACTCGTCCATGGCACCTGATCCCACCTCTAAATTTTGAGGTCCGTGTTTGCTCTGCGTATCGTTTCATTGAACTTTCGAGATTGAATACTGTTCGTTATTTTCATATTTCATTCCATCTTGTTTCACGTATAGGTTGGTATGTTTTAAATTGCCTTTTACGCTCAAAGGCATACACTCATGAGATCTTGACAATTTTTTAAATGTTGATAAATGAAACATTCCTTGACGCTAAAAGTGCTGCTGCAATATAAAATCCTTCGCGGAGGTCACACATATTTCAACTTGAGCAAAATTTCCTGAAAATTCAAACTAATAAAAAGAAAACTGCTTTTAATTAAAAGCAGCAACACTTACCAGAACCTACAAAATATGTAGAACTAATGTTTGGTTTAGATTTTTAATTTGAATAAGGGTATGCCCTCGCGATACTGATATTTCTTTGTGACTTTTGATTGTGCACATTGTATGCATTTATCACGTGACTGTCCAATCAGGAGACCTTACTCAATTTAATACCGTGAGGCTGGGATTCACTTATATGTTATTTCAATAAATATTAAAGTTTTGTGATTTAATTACAGCTTTGCAAAAATAAATTCAGTTTAATTAGGTGTCTATATTTGTAGACTTCTCTGGATTCCGCTGATTTCTTAACAGTGCTGAGAATTCACAGTGTTTACTTCTCTCTAACCCTTAAAAGTGTACATGTATATCAAAATCCGTTCAAATCGGTTCCTCTTAGCTGAAAATGTTTTCTAATTGTATGTATGACAAATTAATGAGGACCGATAACGTATGACGAGTATGAAAGACGTCGAGAAAAAGATAGCAGTAATTCAACAGAATGGATTGGGTAAGTGCAGAGCTAAAGCTTCGACGCTTTTGAAGACTTAATGGACATGAATGCTTTAGCAAGCAAAATCAACTCATTTACGATTTTCTTTTATGTTTTGCATATTTTTATATGGCAATATTTACATTTCCAATGTCTTTGTCCGAGATAAATTACAAATAGTAAAAATACTTTATTTCTACATAAATCTACTGGTTCATCGATAGGCGTGGTTAAAAAAAAATCACGTGCGGGGCGGGACAGACAGAGACAGAAGCGGGGCTTGTAGCACGTGAATTTGCGGAATCAAGAGCATGTAAATATAAGGAATAACTGTCTTATTTTTTGGTTTCATGACGATGATCAATCGATTGGCTTGCGTGATAATTTTATGCATAAACGCCTTCGACGTTTCTGCAAATTATCACGCAAGCCACTCGATTGATCACATCATGAAACCAAAAAATAAGACAGTTATTCCTTAATTAAGTTATTTTAAAACAAACATACTGTATTTACTTTTTGTACAATCATCAGCTCTGAGTATTAAATAATTAATAGTGCAATGGAAATACAAAAAAAGTTATATAACATGTTTCTTTTAAAGCATCGTTGTCATTCTTTCAGATATTACAAAACAGGCAAATGGTTTAGATCCTTGATACTTTAGTTGAGAATCATAAGTTAATGCTTTTAGGCGTCTCGCCGCTGCATTGTTGTTTCATTATCCAAACCATGCATGCTTACTTTGGAATTAAAGCGCTTAGGCCTGAAATACAATTAAAACTACTGAAAACTTTAACTACCTTAAAAAAAATTGAGAAAATACAAATGTAATAATTGAGTTGATACTTTACCTCGCACTCTTGAATTTCCAAATTATAAGACCGGATACCAAAATAATAGCAACTGTTACGCCAATGACAATCCCAGTAATTGCCCCGGTACCCAAACCAGAAGCACTTTCCGAGACAACTCTACATTCTGAAACAATGCGTGTTGTTAAATGTCACTCATTTTAAACTCGATGTGTTTATTTGAACTCAAAAGTCTCAGAAACATTTGTGTTTCCAAATTTCTTAACAGAGTTGTTTGTAGCTTTCTAACTCAATAACACACACTTTCACAACATAAAGCTGTACTAGTTAAATACAAAAATGTTAATACCTGTAGTTGTAAGTAAAGAAAAATATTTTTATTAAATTTTGAATGCACTATCTCTTTAAAAATTTCTTTGAGGAGGGATATATTAGTAGATCAAAACCAATATACTTTTATCTGTTACCTGGATCTGCGCTTCGTGACCACTCATTTAAGGATATTTCGGGTGAACACACTCGACAAAAGTCAGAGGAAGACTTTGTTCCGTCCAGATATGGATCACCGTCAATAAAGCAAAACCCTCTCTTCGAAAAAAAATAAATATGAAAAAAGTAATCTCTTAATTACTGCCGCCCACGTTGTTTTTAACATTTGTTCAAAGAATGGCGATCAAATATAGAATTGCTAATCGGTTAAAATATTCCGACCGATTAAGCGGTTATCCACATCAAAGTACACATTTTCTTGACATTATCTTTTCAAAGTAAGCTCAGAAGACTAAAACAGGTGTAAGTAATATTTTGTTCATATTTGTCAGAACACTATAACATCTTTTTCTATTTCAATAGACAAGAAAAGAATAGAAAACCATAAAACGTTCCTGGTATATCAGAGACATATATTTTTAGACCTGATGTCACACAAGTTTATTCTGCATCATCACGATAACGAGATATACATGTAAGTCTTAACTATGATCGCTTAATTCATCATATTTGTTGATTAAGATAACTTGATGGATAGACGGGATAAGGTACATATCATAATTATTTAACAGTACTCAACGGGATTTAATTAATATCGTTAAAGCAAAACTAGTAAAGGACTGGCTTAGTTTTGATGTGATGTTTAAATAGTAATTAAGGCATCACAAACTGACCAATTACCCCATGATCTCATTCGGAGAATTTAATTAACGCCAAATCAGATTCAGTTGGCATGAGAAAACATTACCTGAATTATCATTTGCAAAGTTAGGAGATTTTTTTTTAAATCGAGTTTTAAAGAAATTATGTTTTATATATCGCTTTACATATTTTGATTTTTTTTTTTCTTTTTTGACTAACAAATTACAGGTTCTCCAACCGATTAGCATCGTATCTTAACACTGAGTAACCGGTTAACCAGTTACGAATGGCAATCCCTATATTACATGTATTCATTGCATTTACCAAGACCTGAAGAAAGTTACTTGTACTTATGAACAGAACTACCTTGAGAGTAAACTGGAATTTCCCGTCCACAACTGAAAATTCTTGGTATGTTGAGTTGAAAATGAACATGTCCTCTTCGTCCCCGAAATTCACCCCATCATTACTCACAGATATTCTATATCCGGTAATAAATGGGAACTCTTGTATTGATTTTTTAACTTTGGTCACATTACCACTAATAGGACAAAACATAGTCATTAATGTGCTAGGATCTCCTTTGCGATCTGTAGACTGGTTTTCTATTTGCAATGACCCGTTTAGGCTTATCTACAATAAACAAATGATATTAAAACAACAGAATGTTTGTTTCTGAAAATGTATTTGAAGAGAAGCTTTCAAATAAAACACAATTACTTGAAATTTCTTAATTCTACAATTTGGATTTCCTTCGCTAGTAAAGCCATCCCCTTCAAGATTTGCTTCCGTACAAGGCACCAAACTTATGTCACATAATCCACTGTCAATCATACCGTAAATGATGGGCGGAATGGATAAGACTATCCCACAATCACCCCCGCCATAACCGTCGTCACAAACACAGCTTCCTGTTTAAATCATGAATTATAACATTACCTCAATCGACAAGCTACCTTAAAATATCAAAGATTTCCCGAAAATATTATTTGGAGCAATGACTTTTTTAATATATACATCCTGAGGTGAAGTGCATTATTAAATCCTTGCATGCAATGCAGTGCAGCTAATCTGAAAATTTACTTACGATAGCTTGCATGTTTTTTTTTAATCAGCAAATGAATATGTTTGTGTAATTATATAATAAAGAAACCCCCTGTTTACAAATTTCAGATTAAAAATCAGTTTATATGAAGTTCTTACAGTTATTTTACTCAATGTAACCTAATGGTTTATTGATACAGAGTATCTGTATCATAGAACAAATTGCAGAAGTGTTTAAGATGATTAATTGATCAAACAAATCTATTTAAATACCGTATTCACAGCGGCCCCGTTCAAGACAATCATTAATGCAGCTAGCATTTTTTACTATTTCAGCGATGGAAGCTCCTCCACTTTCAGTCTCATTTTGCAATGTCGCATTTACTCTAACTTCCGCTAAGCATTTGCCCTTGATACCTTCTCTAGCATTTATCATCCACTGAGTAGAATTTGTTAGCTTTAATATAAAATTACAATTTCTTATTGAACATATAAGTGAATTAATGTCTTAATTAAGCAAGGTAGAACATGAGATTAAATTGATTATGTAAGTGAACAGCCCGCGTGCATGAAATGTATAGTATGTTGTTGAAATGAATAACAAAATCTAGACTTACATTTTGATTACAAGTAGAACATAATTTTACCCAAAAATAAACTACGAAACTTTAGGAATGAATCTACAATATCAAGGTTTTGAGAAAGGCTTACCAGGATATCTAGAACACAAGTGTTGATTGCTATGGTAGGATCAACGTTTGGAATTTCTTTGCACATTTTGAAAGATTCTGATTTATCCATAAACAATCTGCATTGTTCTATCGCTTCAGCTTCCGTCCATACTATCGACTTACCAAGATCTCTTGACTGAAATGTACAAGGCATTGATAGTATGCTCGTGGTTAATTGATCTAGTAATTTATCAAGATATCCATGGAAAGGTAAACTAAGCATTGAAAAAAAACAAAGTATTTCTGAGGATTTATAGAAATGTGATATGTGTAGAATAAACACAGGGGTAAGTTATGTAGTATTTTTAATATGAGTTTTAATAGTGCAAGACAGTTTTGATCAATGTGTGCAAACATTTCTTTCAAGCGATCCTTTGAATTCAACTAGTGTATTGATAAAAAAATCAAAAGTCTACGGGGGAGGGGGGGGGGGGTTAATTTATTAACCGGGGGTTAATTAATTATTGAAATGGACGCCAGTTGAGAAATGGTCAGTCATAATTCTGTCTATAATAACTTAATACATATTCAATACAATACAAAATGACAGGTCATTTTAATGTTCAGTTTTTATTTTCCTTCAAGACAATTAACACTCATTGGCTACCGTTTTTCTTTTTTTTTTTTTTTTTTAAAGGAAGACAATCCATTAGACCTCTGAGGAGAATCAAAACAGGCAAAGCTACTGAACTTTTTTCTAAAAACATGACGTTGCATTTTAAGAGAGAATAGAAATATTCCATTCATTAATTTCCAACTCTATTTATGAAAAAAGAGTGTAAAAAAAAAAAGAAAAAAGATAATCAAATCTGATATAAAATTGCTTTTAATTAATCGCTTTATTACATTTTTGGGATACTTTTCATAAAATAATTGATTTATGAAACTGCGTTACCCCTCAATATATAGAACTAATTTCGTTCAACCATAATTAAACTTTCCTATCCCCCATTAGAAAAAGAATAATGGTATCAATATCCCTTGTCAAAATATCTTCCGATATGAAATAAAGACCAGATCAAATAAAAAAAGAAATTATGTATCACTGATTTAATCAGATGTGACTAAAACAGTGCATGAAATATGGACCGATAGACTATGTAAATCTAAAGTAAAACTTTGGATTCTTTTTCATTCAACTTCCCTGAAAGTTATTTTAATGTAAAAGATATATAAGAAGAAATGATTTGAGTTCAATTTTACTTGGAAGAAGTTAGCAAATATATTGATTAAGAGCGTATTATTTAATTGTGCGATTAAAGGCATTCTACTTGATATACTGTAAGATCATTTCTTTTCGTGGGATCATATTTTCGTGGTTCGAGGACAAAGTATTGGTTTCTGGGGATTTATTCATTTGTTTATCTTGAAATAAAATTCGTGGAGGATCGATTTGAAACCCCCACGAAAATTAGTGATTTCATAAAAGATAAGTACTGTTTTATACGGAGATCTTTTTGTCCTTGATTTTTGTATGAAGGGAGCCGACCACGTCCTTTGAAAGAGTGAGCTGCATGTCTGTGGAGTTTTCACTTCCTCTTCTCTGTTGCAAGTAACGACAGAACTTGACGAACAATCTATATACTCATCTCCGTCCACAACACTATTGTCTTTTCGACATATACAAATCTGCTTGTTGGCAGCCCAGTGATTTCCATCAAATGTAGGTTCGTCCTTAAAAAGATTATTCCCTTCATCGGCTCTGATAGAAAAAAAAATGGAGTAAAGAAACATTTAAAAGCCAAGGGATACATTTAGACTTCAATCGTAAAATTCACAGCTTTAAAAAAGATATCACATTTTTCTACCTCCATGAATATGAAAATTCATCCGGACGAAATTTATAATCTGTCAATCCAAGTGTGTTACATTCTCTTGCTGTATCACCATTCGTAAAAGTTGTTCCATCCGATTTAAGGAAGTCGTCTTTACAATCATCAGTAAGAGTACCACATAATCCCTTAGTTCTACCAACATCACGAAGGGATGGGAAAATCTGGACCGTCATAAATGTCTCCCCGTAAAGTAAGGATACTATACGTGTCCCCAGAGGTGTATACATCTAAGAAAATTTCAATTGAAAAATTAATATGATACAGAATATTCAAAAGCTAGTAAAAAAAAATGATTGTCATTACTGAAAGAAAAAAAAAAAAAAAAACTGATGAAGGTTTTACGTTTGAATGGTATAATTTGAATGAACAAATGAACATGTCTTTGAAATTCAGAGATAACAAGAATTTACATTCCTAACCGATGATATACTTTATGTAATGTGCTTAGGGGAAAAAAGAGAATTATATTCTATTATATAACATTACATATAATATATGTTCTACGATATACATGTAACTACATATTATATGCATGGATAAAAAATGGCAATATGGTAAATGAAATTGGTGATATCATTTTGTATCTGATGTTCAGGTAGGAAAAATTAAAACAATGATTTTCATTGCGTTAAAGTTCATACCTATATACATGTATATATACTACAGCATTCAACCGATATATTAAATTAATGGCTTTATTGCGTTTAGGATTGGGATTAAGAACTCTCTCTCTCTCTCTCTCTCTCTCTCTCTCTCTCTCTCTCTCCGTGTGTGTGTGTGGCAAGTAAAGAATAGATTACTTAACATCAGCATTGACCTATAAGCATCAGAAATCGACGAGTTATTTTTTCGTAGAAAAATATTGAAAATATATTTAAAAAAAATAGTTCAAAATATTAATGTAATAAAACATAAAGAAAGAATTATTATTTGAAGCATTTTCAATGCTGAAATGAAACTAGTTCTAATTGTAACGGAAACCGTTACATGTGTTCCCCAAACGCTCCTGTTATTCCCTATTCGTACCCCATTCCCTATAACCTTCATTAAATTAGGCAAAATTTTTGTATTATAGACTTCGACAACTTAGTTTCCAAAGTATTTTGGCGAACTTGCAGTGCACATATAGTAAAATAGGTGCAAGCAAATTGGATTTAAGTACACATACATGCACGTCATTTAGAAAATGTCCATATACATGATCTCATAGCATGCCATAAAAATTAGTTACTTTTAGATTTCAAAGAATTTCACCAAAACGTAGAAAGTTAAAGCAACCTGAATATTAACCAATCAGAATTCAGCACACATGTATGCATTTCATAAATTTCATGAATTTCTAAGTACTTTATTGAAAAGTGAGAAGATGCAGCCTTTAAAGTATTAACAAATCAGATTTCGGCACATGCATATCCTTACATTCAATTTTGATAGTAGCATAATATAGGAACCCATAATACCTACATGTATCTATATTCTACATTTCATCCCCTTTTGTTGAAAGCTAAGGACGTTATAGCCATTTAAAGTTTTAGCCAATCAAATTCAAACACGTTTATGCACGTGCTATCAAGATTTTCCGTATATAACATATTGTGGAGCCTTATACTATATGCCTATGTTTTTAATATCAAAGTATTTTGTCAAAAACAAGAAAGATATGGAGATTTTTGTTTCAACCAATCAGAGTGAAGCGCACGTGCATACGCGTGAGTTCATGCTCATTTGGCCATATTATCTTGTTTAGACTACTTATATATCTTAATATTTTGAGTTTCAAGGCATTTAATAAAAAAATATATAAAAGGTACAGCTATATCAAGTATATAAGTCATTTCACTCATTGCACGATCCCGCGTGCAAAATTACCTTCGTCCAGCAAATCTACCTAATGCCTATTAGCCCTAAAAAGGTTTCATCTCAATCGGAGGAGTAGACTCCGAGAACACTCACGGACAAAAAAAAAAAATACTTAGGAAGAAGAAAAAAAAAGAAAATAACTAGAGCAAAGCTCGTTGCAATGCAACGAGTAAGTCTTCCCTCCGATTTTGAGTATCACTTCCCGTCGGTAGGGTTTTCGAAAAAATGCTTTTCGGCGATGATTGATGTCAGTCTGTCTAAGCAGATTTTAATCCTTAAATCCTACGCCTATATGTATGAAATTCATCAATTTATGATTACTTCCAGTTTGACCAGAAGTGACATCAATCGACGAAAAAAAGGTCAGAAATCTTCTGTGATGTTAATCATTCACTTCTATGCCGATATCTGCAAAATTGAGCGATTTTTGACTACTTCCAGTTTTACTAGAAGCGATCAAAAGAGCCGATACGCGAAAAAAAAGAGATCGGATGTCTTCTGTGACATTCGATATTTCAGTTCAAAGCCAATAATCTGTAAACATGACCGATTTTTTTTACTACTTCCTTTTTGGTGGGAAGTGAGGTCATTCGAAGTTTTTTGTCTCATTAGCTAGCACTTGTCGTTTTGAACATCATTGCTTCTATAAATGCTCAATAGTTTTTGAGATATTAAGGAAAAACCTTTAGGTCCCTCTAGATCCCTAGTTTTAGGGGCTTGCCACTTTTTCTGATACCAATCCAAAGACCGTTAAATTTTTAACAACCTTTATTCTTCATGTTTTTACCGGAAAAAATAAAAAATGACATAATGGAGAAAACGTCTCAAAAAGTTTGAAATTTTCGATATGCCTTTTTTTCGTGCCATAGCTATCGTCAACGTTTGACACTTCCGATGGAAGTGAATTATGTACTTCACATCTACATATGTTGCTCTATCATTGCTGAGAATTTCACGTTCCTATGTAAAGTGGGTTTTTTTTTTTTTTTTAGAAAATTTGCGGACAAACTGACCTTAAAAAATCACTTAATCGCGGAAATCTTCGGACCGGAGGTGACGTTATCAAAATAAAAATATTTTTCTAGTTATTTTGAAGTTCCATTTGACCTGTAAGTTTTATGAAAATCGGGCAAGCCGTTTCCGAGACTTCGCGTGCACAAAATCGGTAAAAAAAAAATAATTGAAACAGCGGAAAAGAAACCTAAGAATAACAAGAAGGTCTTCCGCCTTTAATTAGAGCAAAGCTTGTTGCATAGCAACGAGTGGGTCTTTTGTCCAGTTTTCATTATCACTACATATAGGCATTATTTATTACCCTAAGCTATTAATTATGAAAAATTCCATACGGTCAAAAATGGTGTCATATGTTTTTGGTAAGTTTTGATAATTGAAATGTATGCTGAGAAATGTGAATTTGAGCATTTATGACTACTTCCGGTGTTGAACGGGTTATGTCAATTGACAAAAATAGGTTGGATATCTTTGGTAATTTAATTATCCACGTTAACAGCAATATCTGCAAAAATAAGCCATTATTGACTACTTCCATTTTGGCTGGAAGTAGTCGAAAGTGACGATACACGATGAAAAATAAGGTTAGAAGTCCTCGCTGACATTTCTCATTCAATTCAGGCCAATATCAGAAAAAAAGTAATTCTTTTTAGTACTTCCGGTTTGCCCGGAGATGAGGTCAATTGACGAATTTTGATGAACTAGCTTCTACTTGTAATTTTTAAAAACTTTGCTACTCTTGTTCCACAAATCTTTAATAGTTTTGGTATATTTAGAAAAATATTTTCCCCATTAGATCCCTTATTTTAGGGTCAGTCCTTCTTTGTTGACATCACATAAGTCGTCACGTCATTGTGCACAACTTTTATTGTATATGTCATAACAAAATATTTACAGGTAAAAAGATATTATAGAAAAACCGTTTAAAATTTTAAAATTTCTTATTATGTCTTTTTTCGGGCCATAATGAACGTTGACTTTGGCACTTCCTGTGAAAGTGAACTACCTAGTTAAAGATCTGAACTACAACTGATATCAACCACAGACCTAAATATGCCCTTTTGGGACAGCGTGCTTCTACATTTCTATCCAACTATTTTTTAACGTCACGGTAAATCAGTCGGTAGAGAGCTTGCTCCGTGATCGGAAGGTCGTGCGTTCGAATCACGGCCGCGACTGACCTAAGTCGATAAAAAATAGCAACTGTTCCTTCGCCAAGCGCTCGGCACTTTGAAGTGAAAGTTCCTGGTACTTCGGATGAGACCTTAAAAACCGGGGGCCCTTTTCACGGTAGGCGTTGGCACAATAAAGAACCCTCACTGCTCAATGGCCCTGAGTGCCGAGTAAAGGTCTAAATTTGAAGCCCTTCACCGGTATATGGTGACGTTTCTATATGAGTGAAAAATTCTCGAAGGGGACGTAAAACAACATACATTCAATCCAACTATTTTTGCATATTATTCTAAGGATTTATATAGCGTAAGCATTCTATGCCGAAATAGTGCACGGCTTCTTATTCTGAAAATAATCCGACAGCACCCACGCCAGAGGTTGAACTCACGATCGCGAGATCGTCAGTCCGACTCGCTACAGATTACGCCACAGAAGCTTGATGCAGTGAAGTTGAATGTATATAACTTTGACACTTAAATGAAAAATACTATAATTCTGTTGGAACCGCATGTATATGTATATTATACACAACTGCATGAAACACATGCAAACAAATACGACGTAGCACAAGATGGCGTCATAATAGGTGTGTACTAAAATGTTTGAGAACCAAAAAAAAAAAAGAATCACTTTAAGGGGTGAGGAAACAGTCGTAATGGAAAAATATTTAAATAAATTTCGTACTTAATATTATAACACTTTTACAGATCATTACGCAAACTGAGTCCCGAGAATAATGAAAACTCTTGTTCGTATAACTTAAGCTTGATTAGTTAATGTACAGAGATTTGACCTCTGCACATGGAAATTTATTTAAATTGTAGTTTTCATACAACAGTCAGCATAATAATAAAGATAGCGTTCTGCTTTGCATCTACTATGCCAAAATAGTAGTCAGGGTTTGATACATAGAGCACTCACCTCTGGCTCGCCCACCATGTGTTAAAACCTGACTACTATTTAGGCATAGTACATGCAAAGCGCAATACTGTTCTATAGATATAAAATTATTAAATTCACAATTACATGCACTTACAACGTATTTCACATTTGTTTCCTTGTGAACACTTAGCTTTCCATCAAGACAGGAAGTATACTTAATTTTCCTGGAATATGTTGATCCACATCTGTCAATAACAAAAACGTCACCGCCAACTCGTACGGCAACACCACAGGTGCAAAAAGCATTGTTGCGTCCACAAGACTCTTGTCTGACTTGTACCTATCATACAAAGGTTATAAAACAATAGAAAAGCTCTTCAACATATTTTATTACATTACTTTTCGATTCACTTCATAAATATATTTCCAAATATAAAATTAAATGTTCTCCTCGTGGTCTTTTAGAATACTTTACATTTAATTAACTTTTTTTGAAATTATAAGACTTTTTACAACTGCATAAACTATTGTATTTCGATAACTCTATTCCTACCTCAATTGCTTCTGTAGTATGTCTGTACATTGTGTAAACCCCAGAATCGTGAAAATCAAATGGACTAAAATAAAAATTTTATTTTCCTTCTAAACTTAAAAGAAAATTTCTAAATCTAAAAAAGAAAAATCAATACTTTCAACATTTTCAAATAAGCAAAAATAAAATAAAATTCAACAAAACTTTCTAAAATACCGTTTGTCAAACGTTAAATAATGGGGATCGTCTTGTGCCTGGCAATATTTTCTTGACCAGTGTGTTTCGGAGGCCTCCTCGATTTGTACCTAACAAAATGATAATGAATTAACGTAAATTCACAATTGAAGGACACATCCCGCCTACAAAATTAAATACTATGACACAAGTCTTACAATTATGTCAGGTAGTCTGTAATCTTCCCATATACGATGATGTGCATGTTTATCAGTAATTAGTTCCACCGCGTATGTGGCAGAATAATAGTGGAACTCCTCCTCTCGAGCCTGAATAATTATACTATGGTTTTTACTCCACTCAGATGCTAGAATTCCTTTAGAACATCTTTCCTGATCGACAATATCATTATCCACTCCTACATTAGCTGAACATTTGTTTGCATCAAAGTTAACCATCCGAACACTCAACTTGCACCAGTCAACATTTCCATTCGAGTGAAGACAACCTATTCCAACTGTTGGTCGAATTCTTATTTCTCCTGTTCTTCCTCTTTTGAATTTAACGATAGGAGTAAGCACCTATAATATTAATGGTTTCTTTCATACATTTTCAATGCTATGGGCCTATTGTTTACGTATATTGACATGCAATCCAAAAATAAAATTAAAAAGGTACAGATATTTCCTACGAACACATCCAAGATCATGCTTAATATATTTATATGAGAGAGAGAAAGAGAGAGAGAGAGAGCGAGAGAGAGAGTATATGTGTGACTCAAGGTAGATGTGTTTGTCAATTTTGCTATAAAGCAAACAAGTAGTTTAATAAAGACATTTTTATTTTTGGTTTGTTGGATGTCAAGGGTGAAAGAAGAGGTCAATCTAAAAATATTTTAAAGAAAAAATGCTTTATATAAAATAATCGAGTAAGCCCTAGAAAACAAAGATACATAATTTTCCTACAGGACCCCTTGCCTTGTACACTCGAATAATTAAAAAAAAATTTCGAACAACAAGAGACAAAAAAGTCCAATCCTGTGATGTGAATCAATGATCCGGGGGTGGGGGGGGGCATGATCTTCAAGTCCTGGTTTCTTCACAAATTGTATGCTAGAATATCTAGGAATAAGGATCAGGACATTGCAAGACAAAGTCCATTATAGAGCTGATAGTTGTACAGATGTATACTGTGAAATCACTAATTTTCGTGGGGGTTTAGTTTTCGCTGTTTCCGAGGTATGGAGAAACCCACAAATTCACGACCACCACGAAATGTAAAATGTCATATGCATTACTACTCAACCCTTCTCCATTCACGAAATAAAATCCCCACAAGCCAATATTTTTTTCTCAAACCTCTGAAATTTGTCCCCACGAAAATATGTGATTTTACAGTAGACGACATCGATTTTCAGAGTTGTGCGGCCCAATCTCTCAAATTTCTTTGGGATAATCTTAACTTATGTTACGTTTCACCATAAAAAAATAACAATACAATGTACCAACTAGACACATCCTTACATGAAACAGACGCTTCGTCTGCTCTCTGGGGTCTTCCTTTAAAACCACACTAGCCATCCCATATGGGTTGTAAGATGCAGAAGCAATACTTAGGGAAAAAAATTACATTCATCTGAATAGGACATATTCCTAATGTTTTTTAATGTTTATTCTGTCTGAATCGTTAAAAGTACGGTTTAAGAATAAAGAAAAATAGCAAAAAAGACTTTTCACAATAAAGGTCTACAATTATAAACACATTTTACTTCTTTATCAAAAGAGTTGATTTGATTTGAACATATTTTATTATGTAGTGAAACATAAATGGATTGGGCAGCAGGCACTGTCTATATAAGCCATTTCCACAGGTACAAGGTTCATTTAAATTATTCATAATACTAAAATAAATAATTGGAAATATTATATATAAAAAGATTGTTTTCATAATTTTCATTGACTGAAAGGATGTCACGTGATATTCGTACTTTTGTGATTTAGAGGTGAAAGCGCGTCCGCGGAATATGATATCGCACGACTCACCGTTTGGCTCCACCAAAGTTACGTAGAATGTGATATAGTATAAAAATAGAGGATAATCAATGTTTTGTAGTTGGATATGGAATATGGGATAGGATTTTTCGATATTTTCAAGAGTGCGAAGCACGAGTAAAAATATCAAAAATCCTGTCTCAAGAGTGAAATAAATTCCATATCCAACTGCAAAATATTGAATTTTCTGTTTATTACATTTTCTTTGATTTTCCCTTTGCCTATGATTTTCTTAACAAAGTGTCATATTCTGTGACGTCATAGTTGAGCGGTTGAGACGTCAAAGCGTAGGGATTGTTCATGTAAAATTGAAATCATTGGATTTAAGCAACCTATTCGGGAAGACATTTGTAGTTTTTTGTCTCTATCAGGATGGTTTAATTACTATCTCTATCTTATGACAGGTCATACAGTGTTTTTACAACACTCTTATTGAAGGTAAGTTTTGTTGCACTTTTGATATTCTCTCACACTGTGACAGAATATCACTTTGATATCCTTTCACTCTGTGACCAAATATCACTTTTATTTAATAAATAAATCACAGTCTTTTCACTGCTGAAAATGTAATAAGCATGATTTACCATTGTAACGTAATTACAGCCAGTCTGTTCAGTTAGGACTGTGTCAGATTATTCATTTTAAGTGATTATATAACTATTATGGACTTCAGTTAACTATCAATATGTAGTTATAAGTACGCATGTCATATGATATTGACCTCAGACACAGAAAATGACAGAGACCTCGAAAGCTCGGTCTCTATCATTTTCTGTGCCTAATGTCAAAACAGTGTATCACTTGACATGGTCAGAGCGTTTTTTCTAGAGTCGCGGAGTATGGAGTTGATCCTTACATCGCGTGTTTGAATCCTACTTGGAGACCAGTCTATTTTTTACAAGACCGTTTATAAGACTTCAAAGACCCTTGAATCATATCAAAATAGTATTAAGATGCATGAAATGAAATTGTTGCACAAAAAATGTTTAATTTCAAGAAATGATTTTTTGAGAATATCTATTAGATTCAACTTGATATCATTTATTGTCTAAAACAACGATATATAGAAGTTATGATAAAAAAAAAAACTTTCCCAAATTTTTGAGTATCATATGACTTTAAGATGGGTAAAAATAATTAGGGGGATTTTTTTTCATTCTTTGTTGAAAAGATACGATCAAATTATCTAAAAACAAGATCATTTGGAAATCAAGTAAACGCCAATTGTCAACACATTTACAGCTATTCTAGGAGTGAAGTTTTTTTTATGTTGTTTTGATTTCTAATTTGGACTCAAGTTACTTCATCAAATTCTTTAAGTTTGATCTATAAGGTTTTTAAGTTATCAAACCACAAATTACAATTACAATATAAACAATATAAATTTGTTGGCTAGTTTTAAAGAATAGATTAATCAAAATGATTGTATAAAATACCTTTTTGAATGGTGGCATATTTCTACCACTACTTGTTAGATGTTTATGTCGACTTGTCAGATGTTAATGTTGATTTGTCAGATATTTATGTCAAATTGTCAGATAATTATGTCAACTTGTCAAATAAAAATTATCACGACCAGGCAATCGGTATCTTGTTATGACAGCTTGTTAAAGTCACTAAATGATATCTACTTGTCATCATTTGACAAGTCGAGATAATTTTCTGACAAATTAATATATTTTTCTGACAAGTCGACATCATTATCTGATATGTTGAAATAATTTTCTGACAAGTCGGCATGTCAAATGTTATTTCGACTTGTCAGATAATGATGTTGACTTGTAGAATATTATGTCGACTTGTCAGAAAATTATGTTGACTTGTAAGACAAGATATCGACCCGTCAGATCTTTATGTTGACTTGTAAGATCCCTATGTCGACTTGTCAGAAAATTATGTTGTCAACTGATGGCCTAAACTGGGCAAGGACACATTTTCATGTTGAATTTTTAAACACCTGAATAAGTGACAAGTTAACAAAATGATCTTACAAGTCGACATAATTATCTGACAAGACAACAAAAAGATCTAACAAGTCGGCATAATTATCTTACAAGTGTGTGTGTGTGGGGGGGGGGGGGGCATACATATGCCACCATATTTTTGGCTTTTTGAATGGAATACCGTCACTAAAATCATAAGGTCTATGACTTGAATACCTCTATCCCGACAAAAATTGCTTCACTCTTTCCCTCTCTTCCAGGAGGGCCCATGTCTACGGTTTTTGCTACCACAGAACAGGATACCTGTGCAAAAAAAATATTCTCTCAAATTTCCATAAAGAACGTAATGAACGCACG